AATCGGCTCAAGAAATTCGTATCTCAATTCTGGTATTTAACTCTGTTTCGAGATTTTCATCCAATGAGGAAGAGGCAATCAATTTGGAATGAAATTGGAAAGAATATAGGGGGAAGAGATATGAATCTGGTAGCGCGTTTCGAGATGTTTCGTCTGGGAGGAAGAAGGCTCGTATTTTTTTGAGAAAATTATATGAAAGGTCCCCTAGTCGTTTTACATATTTAGTTCCTATATATTAAATATTACTAATTTAGTCCCCAATTATTATATTTATTTGCACGAATGGTCCTTTGTTAACATTTCCGTTAAGAACGTGGATCAAATTGTATATTCATACTTCTCTCTCTCCTCAATTAAGCTTTCTTCATCTTCTCATACGCTTTTCCAAACTCGTCGCCGAGTTTGAAACTCTTAAACCCAAAATTTAAATGATCATTCCTCCAGTTAGACAAATAATTGAGAGAAGAGTGATGATTTTAGTTTAGGGTTCAAAGCTGGAAACTCAGCGACGGGTTTGAGAAAGGAGTACAAGGAAGGAGAAAGCTTAATTGAGGAGAGAAAGGAGTGTGAATTTATAATTTTATCCAGATTTTAATGAAAATGTTAACAAAGGACCATTCGTAGAAATAAATATAATAATTGGGAACCAAATTAGTAATATTTGATATGTAGGGACTAAATATGTAAAACGACCTATAACTGAAGACCTTTTATGGAATTTACTCTATTTTTTACATGTCATCAGTAAATTGGCCACGTGTCAAAAAGCCAGCACTTTAAAAAGTGCCAAATGTCAGCTTCCTAGAGCCCATCACTAAATTGGCCACACACACACACATATATACATACACACACACATATACATGGAAAATGCTAGGATGCCACCACATGGTTGCTACCATGGGTGCACCCATGTTTCGCACAGACAAACACAGACGATAATTGTCTGTGCGACACAGACAATTATCGTCTGTGTTTGTCTGTGCGAAGCATGGGTGCACCCATGGTAGCACCCATGTGGTGGCACCCTAGCATGGTCCTATATACATACACACACACACACGTGTATATATATATATATATATATATATATATATACGATAAGAGTCAAAAGAGGAAGTCCATACCAGTTCGAGCCTGTGAGTCTTTTGAAGTGATACATTGCGGGGTACTAAGCTCTTTATATCTTCAATGTCATTGTACCTTGCTACCTATCAGATATAAGACACGTCAAGTTGAAAGATTAAAAATAACAATTACAAACCTCTATACCAAGACAAAAAAACACAGCATGTATGGAGTAACATATTATCAATTTACAATAGATTATTTTAAATATCAATGTCGATGGGGTTGATACGATTTCAATAAGATTGATTAATAAATAATAGGAGTAAGTCGAAGAGAACAATCTAATCTCCATACATGTCATTTTTAGATGGAAATATAGATTTGGGTATGGATGGAGTTATAATATCATTGCTATTACTCGCTAGCCTATAATAGAGCTCTAATGAGTATAAAAAAGAAATCAACACCAATTCTGCCCTGTGAATCATTTGAATAAAGACCAGTAAGTTGAAGATAAGAGCGCCTAATTCATTACTTTTCGAAATAGGATTTATGAGAGAAATTGATCTACACTGAGACTTTGAAATAATCAAATTTTTATAGGATAAGATAATGTCAACAAAATTCTTGGAGGTGGGACTCATATTTCTGGAATGCTATACATCTATATGTAGACATTTTAAGCTAAGAAGCTATGCGGGATGATAATAGTGAGACTTGTCGAGCATTGCAGGGGGGAAAACTTGACTAACCTTGCACAACTTAACACATTCGTAACAGGTAAACCACTCTTTGCTCAAAAAAAGTGTACCACGGGTAAATTTCCCTTAACTGTCTTTGGTAGCTTCTAGATGTAAATAGTCCCAAAATACACACTTGACAATATTCTTATTTATCATGGCTCCATTTGATCCATGATCCATGGATTTCAATCTTTCTGGTCGTTGAGCAAGTTTTCTCTCCTCCAATAAAAAAGAGGTAGCATTGAGGATATATATTTTTAAAAAAGGAGATATAAACACAAATGCAAATCTATAGAGTTGCATTGGAAATTATAGAGGCTATAATACCTTGATCTCCAACTTCAGAGGCTACATGTTACATAACCACACAAAAAACAAAACGAAATTTCAGTTAATAACCACAAAAACATACCAGATGTTACAAAACAGTGTGTTCAACAAACCAATCACGAATCCATAAACCAATTAGCAATGAGAGAAGTAGCTAATTAGTACACAATTCGCATGGGAATAAGGAATAACAAATATCTTATCACAATTTCGCTGAACCAAATCAGATCTAGTAGCAGGAAATACACTGCAAAAGGAGAGCAGAGAAAAATTCACCATGTTCTGTTATATGAAACGGAAGCCGATGGGTTGTAGAAAGAATCGGAGATTCAAAAAAAAAGCGACCAGTCCAACGCATGACTTCTCTGTGGCACCTTCTCAGCAGAACAAACCAGCAACAACTTGAAGCGAAGTCGGCCGAGCGTGGGGAAATGCGAACAGATGAATCGAAAAAAAAGGTTTAATCAAAAACACAATTTAGGTCGAATATGAATCCGCTCCAAACCAGCACTCATCGATGATCATGGAGCAAACATGGTCGACGAGGAAAATCATTTGGAGCTCCATGAAAAACCGGTTGCCAAAATATGTTTGACCATATTGGTTGAACACTTGCCTCCCAAACAGCACTGTTAGGATACTTCCAAGAATTGGGTCCTTACTTTTTTTTATTTTAAAATACTTATGCTTTAAAGTTAATGATGAATTTAAAAATGTAAAGCCCTTAAATTTTAGGGATCATGTGCGATAGTCTTTCTACTTTAAAAATTTCACAAATAGCTCTTCTAGTCACGTTAGTATTGCGTGATTGGTCTTTCTTTTAATTTTTGTTACTTCATTTATTTATTTTTCATTTCTCATTATAAATACACGCAAGGAACCTTCTCTTTTCATAAAAATGAGTTATACTTTTTGCACATTTATTTTAATTGATATATCTGTAAAAAAAGTCAACCTTGTTAACTATAAAAAGTCAAAGTTCGATAAAATTTTAAGCCAGAGCAATATTTTTTTGATAAAATTCAACTGAAAAACAAAAGTAACTTATTTTATTTTAAAAAATAGAGTAATTAAAGTAAGAGTAACTATTACCATTAAAAGTAGACATACATTAAATATGATTCAATTATATGAAGAAGATCAGAAAAGGTTCTTCACATGTATTTAAAATGGAAAATATATAAAAAGAATGCATGGCTAAGGGTTAAATTAATGGAAAGACCAACCATGCAACGTTGACGTAACTTAAAAGACTATTTATGTAATTTATTTTCAATGTTGAAAGAACAACAATGAACCGTTAACATTACTTGAATATTATATTATTCATGAAATTTTTAAAGTTAAAAGGACTAACAATGTATGACACAATAACTTAAAAGACCAACGACGTAATTTAGTCTAAAGTTACCTCATGAGTCGCTCATGAGCCAAGAAAATCCACAAACAAAAGTGTCCCTTCCATCACGAATTCATTGTCTCATGCCCCACCATAGAAGTTCTTGAGTAGCTAAATATACTTCGCAAACAATAATTAGGATTATTTGTCGAACTACCTTAAAAAGAGAGAAATTGAAAAAATACTTAGCGACATGAGACAAAAAGTTCAAGCCACATGAGACCCCGGTTGTGTCATAAACTACCACCCTTAAGCCATACCATACAGTTTCGCGACATTTAGTGAATACCAGGCACTCGATCATCATACTTTGATATGTTGACATAAACTCACTGATAACCAGAACACGCTCATGGTAAACCGATGCAACTCCTGTGAAATACAACAAGTTTGATTTGCCGTATGGAGAGACCAAAATACAATATGATTAATTATATCCATCTCCACTGTGATCAATGGCATCACCCCCATTAGTTTTAATTTGAGCCAATTAAGGCCTCTTGAACTCCAATTGCTTCTGCCATCAAAAGAGTCTTCATTGGAGCCAAGCTCCTACTAGCTCCCTTATGAAATGACCACTAGAGTCATAGACTATGTTACCTAAATTCTTCAAATAGGTGTCAGTCATATCACCTTGTTATCATGCTGCTCCGTGCGCGCCTAGAATTCCTATTCATATATAGCATTGAAGAGCTCTTGCAAAATGAATGATTTATTCTTCCGGGTTCATTTGCATCCATACAGGGCCGGCTACACACATGGGCAGCAAGGTCATATGTACAGGGCCCAATTTTGGAGTGGGCCCCATTTTTATATTCACTCCATAATATACATATATACGTATTTATTTATATAAAAACTAAAAAAGAACACTAAAAGGCCACCTCATTCTCTATGGACTTTTGCTTTGGCCCACGATGCACCAGAAAATAGGTCCAATTTTGAAGGCCCCGAGCGGCTGAGCCCACGATGCACCAGGCTTAATTTTTTAAAAAAAAAATCTCTTTCAAAAATTACTCTAATTAGGTGATTAGCAATTGATTTTATTAACCTTATCATGTTCATGAATCATGATTTTAAAATATTTTTCATAATTCTGGCTTACTCTACAAATTTTAGTGTAATCAATTGCCCAATTGGAGTAAATAAATAATTTCAAATTTTAATAGTTTCATAAATTAGATTAGTTGATTTCATATTGATTTATGATTTTCACTTTGAAATGAATTAGATTGTATGTATAATTAATTTTATTTAAGATTACTAATTTTGTGTGTGGATTTGATTATTTGAAATTTTGACTTTGACATTTTAATATTTTATTACTCGTATTTTTATTACAATAATGCTCTCAAGAATGCTAGAAAACTTCAAGAATCCTTAGTTAGCTATTAATATAAGCAATTTTAATTTTATAAGACTATAAATTTGACAAATTATATTTTTTATTATTATAATATTAATTTTGTTAAATACACCAATTGAGAAAATTTATTTTATTATGGTACAATGACTCAAATTTCTTTATGTCGTACAGGGCACCCGATTTCTGGGAGACGGTCCTGCATCCATATTCCCCAAGAGATCATTATTACAGTTTTGCCATCCCATTATGACCCACAAAGAGGGAAACTAAGAAAATACTCCGTAGTAAACTAACCATTAAGTTATAAGTTGATACCATTTCAAAGATTTGTGAAAGAATCTTGGGGCTATAAATAAAATGTATAGAAGCAACTTAACGGCATACCCTGATTTTCAATCATTCACCGCAAAGGCTTGTTTTACTCTGTACTACTTACTTCATAGCATAATTGAAGACTATGGTCACATTTACATTGGAAAAGAGAATTTGAATAATGGTACAAATACTAATTTAGTGAAATAAAATTGTCAAAAAGGGAAAATATATACTCCGTACATAGTATATGTAAATTAAAGTAAATAATTTATACGGACAATTATTTCAACATCTTATAATAAAAATAATAACAATAACAATAATAATGACAACATAATTGGAATTGTTATCTTAAATTTCATACTTTGAATTCTGTGTATTAAATAGAGTCTTAAAAAATTCAAGCTTAAAAATTCTTTGTTAATATATCAAAATGTTTTCTTCTCAAGAATGTGTACACTAGTATTGAAAATTTCCAGAAGCATGAACTCTTTGACGAAGCCAATTAAGCAACAAAATTACAATACAAAGACTCTTACTTTTGTATATATAGTTTCTTCAAAAAAAAAATGTTCAACGTCAATCTAAACATAAAAAATTATATAGTTTCCATTTTTTCATCCCAATTTCTTTTGTTTTTTGTATATAGTATAGATAATTAAATTAATCACACACACACATAAAGAAAAATATATAAAAGTAGATGATGAATTTAAAAAAGGCAAAAAAAATTTAAAAAAAAATAAGTAAATAAAAATCAAATAAAAATGTGTGATAGAGAAGAAGTGGTGTACATTTGGGGTACACCTTTTGGTGTACCCCTAACATTGCTCTAGCTATATAGCTATAGTACCATTTGAGCATTTACTTTGTGGGTGGGAGAGCTTCTATAGATGGGAAAAAATGTGACAAGTGGAAAAAGCTGAACTTAGTTGATAGGCATTCCTTTTGGGTATTTGTGGCTGGGGTAGGAGTTATTGAATGCACGTGAATGAGTATGCGACTCAATAATAATGGTTCTCCACTACTATGGTACTCCATATATAATTATATATTATCTCGGTTGGTTTTAGTGTTTATCTAGTTTGATTTTTTTTAAAATTAAATTAGATAAATTTTAAACTCCAATTCTTCTAAATTTTTATTTCATATTAATATAATGAAATACAATTTTAAAATTTTTGATACGATAAATTTAACGAAGCCATTATTATGAAAAAAAACATCATTTATACCCAATATAATTAGTTGTGTATTGCTCAAATTTGAAGGAGTAAGTGAACATCTTCATAAACAATACATGAAGGTGATAAAAGTAAGTGGGCACGGGCATGCATTGGTAGACTAAATTCATGTACACAATGCCTCTAAATTTAGTAAAGTGTCTATTCTTCCATTTCAACCAAACCAATATTTACAGAGTGACTAGCTGGTATCATCACATGGCATCAACAGCGTACGTAGGTCCCACCCATATGCAGCCCACACGCCCTACCCACACGCGGGTGTATCAAAAAATTTAAAAATAAAGATTTCAAACATGTTTCTAATAAAATTGTGAAGTAAGTTAAAATGAATTAAAGTGATTAGGTAAAAAGAGAAATTTTAAATTCAAGTTTGAAGTCTCAAACTTCAAACATATTTCCAGTCCTCTAAAAACCACACAAGAACTTGTTTTATTTTACAGTGAGTAGTGAGAATATGAAAAAAACATTAATGAAATTTGACTATATACTCCTTCCGTCCCACTGTCTTTGTCCACTTATCTTTTGGCACACCATCCAATGTACTTCTTTAATCCATTTTATCGTGTAATTTGTATATTAAAAAATTATACAAATTATATATTAATAATTTATATGTTAAGATGAATCACACAAGATTACACATGACTATTTTTAGGCTTACACATTAAGAGAATTTGATGAGTCAAAGTACTTAGATGAACAGTTCCAAAAGTCAAATTTGGACAAAGACAATGGGACGGAGGTAGTAAATAATATTTGACCAATTTATTTTCAGATGGAGGGAGCAGTATATTAAATATATATTGAAAAATAATTCCATTTAACATGAAAGAAGTGAATTTAACTAAAAAGTGCATAGATTTAGCCACACGTTTATACTTTTATGTTTTATGACTATCAATAAAAGTAAAGGCTAGATGTTGTTATTTGTTGAATTAATTTTGACCAAATCAATATTCCCTCACGATTAATTTTATATTGTAGTTTCACGAGTAAAAACAAAAACATAATTGAAAGTGTTAGATTTAAATGACAACTGTAATCCTTGAAATTCTACCAAAAATATGATTTACCTTAGAGTTTTTAAAAGATTTAGCCTTAAATTATACATTTACATGTTCTTTTCCATTTACATACAGATGAATTTTGATTAGCAAATGTTTATGCTATATCATTCATTAAAACTCTAAATAAAATTTCAATATTAAATTTTGCTCAATTTTTCAATCATTAGCTAAGAAGAAAAAAATAATTGAATAAAAAAATGTATTCGTTCGACTCGGTGGGTTTTTTTTGGAAACCTACCGCTCTGCGTCCATATAAAATGATTTGAATTAAAAAATTAAAAATATATATTCTAAAACTAAATCAAAAGATCTACAAAACTAGTAGTGATATGACTATATTATTTTACTAAATGACTAACAAAATAGAGGAAAAAAGTAAATAAAATTTGACACTATAAATAATACTCTGTAGTAATCAGACAATTTAATTTGGATCGGAGAGAATCAACAGGTCTTTTGAACCGTGTTTCCATCACAATACTTAATTTAAAAAAGTCTAATTTAAACTGTATATACTGATAATTAGAGATTAGAGTCCGATCTTCCCCAATAAATACCCTGGCGGCCTGGCCCTTCCCTCAGTCACCTTCTTCTTCCCCATCACTCAGCTCCAATCCCCTCTCTCTCTCTCTCTCTCTCCCTTTCTCTCACAGTCTCACACTCAGCTCTTCTCTCTCTCTATCTCCCAACTCCCCCTTTATGGACGCAGGAGAACCTCAAACTCCTCCCCCCGGCTCAAACTCCTCAATGCAGATCACACAAGTATCCGTCACGTCTCCCGCAGCTGGATCGAAGGGGCGGCGCGCGCGGGAGACGTGCGGCCAACTCCACCTCCGCCGAGTTTTCTCTCGTTCCCAGCCTCACCTACACCTACATGGACGCAGAAATGCCGAACATCTCAAGGCCATTTCTCCGCTACACGGTCATCGTGCTCGTCATGGTGGCCGTCGTGCTCGTCGTGGTGGCGGCGGTATGCCTCCTGAGGTGCCTCTATCGCTGTTTCCGCCGCTGCTGCCTCCGCGAGACGGCGGAGGAGTAGTTGGTTGGTTTTCTTCCTAGCTAGATTTGGTTCCTTCTCCATCCTCTTCTTCTTTTAATGTTATGTTTGTAGATTTGGTTCCTTCTCCCTCCTCTTCTTCTTTTAATGTTATGTTTGTAGATTTGGTTCTTAGATTTGGTTCCATGACCTTCTCCTTTTTTCTTCTAATGTTATGTTTGTATGTTGTTTTTCGTTATTAATCGAAATCCTTTTTAATTCATCATTATATTTGCTTTTATATATTTTTCTTTATGTGTGGTGTGTGATTAATATTTAATTATCTATACTATATACAAAAAGGCAAAAGAAATTGGAATGAAAAAAAAGAAGTAAATTAAAAAAGTTGTTTTCTTGCCCAACAATATATCAGATGCGGTATTAATTGTCGGTCTCTTGTTTATGTTGAGAATATGAAATGATTAATTAAAATGGAACATCAAGCAAGTTCTCTTGTTTCTTACCTTCTACCAAGTTTTGGGTGGTAAGTGGTAACAAGTAATGGTCAAATAATTGAAGCTTCATTTTGTTTTTCTATGGGGTAATTAAGATTATTTCATAAATTTTAACCCCAAATACCCAGGAGAGTTATCACTGAATCTGTTGTTTACGGAGGGGATGAGAGACACACGTTTTCATACACGCGCCATGTTGCGCGTAGGAAAGGAAAGTGGGAATGGAGGTGGGCGAAAGTGGGAACCAGAAGACTAACCCTAGCTAGGAAATTTCCGGAAATGGGAACATAGATAACCCATCCTTTGGTTAAGCTTGAAAACAAGAAAGGAGGATTTTATTTATTATTAAATCAAAGATCGATCAAAACCCATTTCGAAATCGTTTTATACAGATAATAAATAGATTCCTCATTCGATCTGATCGGGTCGAATACTACTATCTCCAAATCCGACCTGACTTTTAAAAAGGAAACTCGAACCCGATCCAAACCTAAATTTTAAGCCAAAAACCCGATTCGACGACTTGAATCCGACATTTACATCCGAAACACCTCAAGGCCATTTCTCCGGTACACCGTCATCTCAAGAACAATATATAATGGACCAAATAATTTTTTTCACTTTGGAACAGAATTTAAAAGTGATATGGACAATTTTTCTTAGCTGACCAAAAAATGATAGTGAAAAAATGTAACTCTCCGTCAAAATTTTAAAAGTTTGATCAAGAAAGTCAATTTTAAGTCGAATTAATTATTTTAGGAACGATCGATAAGTAATATGCAACATATGACTAGCTAATACTAGGATGAAAAGAACCCACCGGATTTGAATAGCGGGAGTGCAAGAGTTTTGAATGGATAGCTCAATTGAACTAAATTTTGAATGTACATTTCTCTCATTTCATGATTATTCTTGTATACATCATTTGGGCAAGATTCCCATGACATTGGAAACCAATATCATGGGATGATGCGGGGGCGCTCCGGTGCCCCATTCGTAAAATTGACGGTTCCACCCCTTCTAACTGCCCCGGTAAACTTCCCCCCCTGCACCCCACCCGTCCCGACCCGAACACACCCCCATACCCCCGTTAATTGCACCCCACAAGTTGATTTTCACTTTGGAGTCAAACTTTTGGGTTCACCCTAAATGAAAAATATAAAGTTTATATTCATGAGAGGTGGATTTACCTAATTTGGATGAGGGTGTGGTTTTAGCCTCTCTAAAAAATATTTATTGTTTATTTATGTACAAAGTATTATTTACTGTAGTATCCTTTTGAAGTTGGGTTACGCTATTGTAATGTTTGCCTATCCCGTTTTTGTTTACGAGGTTTGATCAATTTTATTTTCAGTTCAATTTATTTGATTGTAGGTGTAAAATTAAATTAACATTTACATATTTAAAAACTACATCAAAAGTTCTACAAAACAAGTGGTGACAAGACTATATTATTTTATCAAATACCTAATAAAAATAGGTAAAAAAAATTAAAGTTTGACCGTGCAAAAAGAAACTGGGAAGACAATTTTAGGACGAAGGGAATACCTCAAACTTTTTACTTCATCTAATGAATGATTTCTTTGTTTTTCCTAAAAAAAACATACTACACCTAATCTAATCTTGTTACACACATCCACAATTCACATATATTGAACAATTTAATAAGGATGTTCGTTGCAACTAAGATGGGGCTCCTAGCATGGTTCTAAGTGAAAAAAATGTCTATTTCCGTCGTTTTTATCTAGTATTCCCTCCGTCCCGTGAAACATGAGACTTTTGCTTTTTAAGAGTGATTTAAGGGTAGTGTATTTTGGTATTTAATTTCCAAAAATGTCTTTTGATGTGATGGATAAAAGTATGATTTGATGGATAGATTATTAGTAAAAAAGTATGATGTGATAGGTAGGGTATGAAAAAGTAAAGGGTAAAAGTGAGTTTTTAATAGAAATGAGAAGTGTTTTGTGGGACGGATGAAAAAAGAAAGGAGAAATGTTTTATGGGACGGAGGGAGTACATCCTATGTTCTGTGGTGTCTTAATCTTTAATGTTTAACGGATGGCCTAAGTCGTCAAAAATTGCGTGTTTAGTAGTTTACGTGTTTGAAGCAAATTTACCATGTACCTTCTAACAATGTTTAGTTTTAACGTTTCAAAATTAACATACTCCTTATTAAAAAGTTATCCAAGATGTTAGTGTTAATTTAAAAATGTAGTTTTCAAATAAGGCTTAAATAGCTACTCTTCACTTTCTAAAATCATAAGAATTTTGTCGGAGTTGCAATAGAGAATTAAAGATGCTTCCTCCACTTCAAAATGAACTTTTTTTTTTCTGTGTGAAATATTTTTCAACTTTTAATATTACAAGTGTGATAGCTTTTGTTTTTATAACTTTGAAAACTTTAATTTTAAAGTACATTTTTTTTTAAATATCTATATTCAAAATTAAGTGAAGGGGGGCTTGTGAGGGTGGATATATATGAGGGCCTTGTCGATCACTTTCTCACTTGAAGTGGATCGGAGCTTGTCCCGTGAAGTGGGGTTTGTCACTTTCTCATTTTCATGGGAATATGAGTTGTGGACCTGTGGGGAGAGCAATGTTGTGGTGGGCCGGGGTGAGCTTCTATAAATGAGAAAAGAGAGAGAAAAGTGTAGGGAAATCTTTGGTTCACAAACACAATGATCACAAACATCACAAACTTACTATTTGTGAACTTCAATGAAAAAAATTAAATAGTCTAAAGTAATCTTAAAATGAAATTTTAAACCATAAATAGTAAATTTGTGAAGTTGGTAAGTATTCTGTCTGTGAACTTAGCATTACTCGAAAGTCTATTGTTGGGCCAAAAAAAAGTAAGAAATGATGCATGTGAGTATGTGACGAGTAGCAATACTACCATGCCAATCAACATTTAGTTTAGCTTTTTTTGTTTTTTTTAAATTGGTAATGGTCCACAACTGCATGCTATATATTCCCCTTATTAGGTCATATGCATGGGTTGTCATCCCATCCCATATTCCCATGCATACCAAAAGTGTTGTCCATTGATTATGGGAAGACGCGTACACTAGCCAGCCTTTTTTGGAGTTACTTCTTCTCATTTCAATTAATGATCTTAATTTGACTTCATAAAATATTAGGCCCTGTTTGGTACAAGAAATTCAAATTATGGAATTGGAATTGAAGACTTCAATTCCAATCCTGGTGTTTGGTAGTAGCACAAATATTGTGTGGATTTGGAATTGATAGTGCGAAAAATGAATTGAAATTATGTGAATTTAATTCTATGGAATTGAATCACATGGAATCTCAAATCCAATTCCACCAATTCCGTATACCAAACGAACCCTTAGAAAAATTGAAAAAGTAAAATTTGAATGGTTGAAATTTGTTCAAAAGAAGGGGATGTTAATATATGGTGAGAAGAGTACAACAAAAATCAAAAGTAAATTCCTCTTAATATTTCTTAATATAATTGTGGATCGGATGATGATCTCCTCTTCAAGAAATTGCACAACAACAAAGAAAGGGGCTAGCGGTACCCGCGAACGAAACGCATCTCCCATCACCGCGTATGATTGATTGGAAAAAGTCAAAACTGAACAAATGTTCATGGATAGAGGTAGTATATAATTAAAAACTACACACTCATCATGGCGTGTTTCGCTCTACTTCTGAATGATTACTCCCTCCGTCCTAAAATTAATTTCTCATTTGACTTTTAACGGTCTCCAATGTGACAGTTTTTAAAAAGACCTGTAGATCCCCCACCCCACCCCACCATGCATTTTCTTCATTAAAAATGGTGAGGCAGGTGATGTTTTCCTTGGGTATGGATGGGGAAAATCTTTGCAAAATGAGAGCATTTGTGTGGGCTGGATTGGCAACAACTAGGACCTGTGTCCGAAACAGCCCAAAATTCGAATTGTAGATCGTCAATCAAGCCCAGGCTCAAGCTCGGCCCATATAAGGACAAACGGATGGACTTCAAAAAAACGTTTTATTGCGTACCTTTTCAATTGTTTTCAAGAAGCCCAAACTGTTTGAGACAATCTTCCATGACAAAATTGCACAACCCAACAGAATCACATGCTTTTCCACTATTGGCCCCAAATACTCCATGGGTATATCCATACAACAGATTGTACGGAGTATATGTATATTAAATAAAATAAATAAACACTTAAACCAAGAAATTTAGTAACAGCTAAAATGCAGCTGCACAAAGGTAAAAAAATAGAAAAGCAACTTTTTTATTTTTTTAAAAAAAGAAGTAAAAATGAATTATTCATTCTTAGAAAAGAATGAAAAAAAACTCAATTGAATAAAGACATGTTTATATATCCATGCATGCAAGTATATAGGAAAGCAAAGACCAAACTCATACGCTATGAATTACGTACAAAATCATGTATCCATCCCTTCTTCCAAAATAAAAGCATCTTTACTAGTGTGTTTATAAATTCACCAGAATTGATTATTGTTATGATTTTAAGCGCATAAGATACCGAAAATAATTAAGAATATTAAAAAAATGAGATAACAAACACAAGAAGAATATATATGAAAAAAATGTATATTGATACTATTTAAAGACAATATATAAAAAAAATTGTTCTCGTTTACAAAATTCTTTACCAAAATGAAGAAAAAGGGAAAATCCAAATCAATTTAGCTGTGAATTCCTTTTAGGCTACCCCAAATTT